GGCGCCCCTTAGCAACTATTACGGCTTCGCTGCTTCTTTTCCGGCGACGCGCCTGATTTATGTTTCGCGCCTGACTTCTATTTCGTCTCCGTGCGTCTCGCGATATGCGGCGCGAGCTTTCGCCTTCCAATCTCGCGAGCTTTCCCGGCTCAAGAGTTCTCGGCTCCTCTGTGATGCAGCTCTTTGCGGCTTCCCGTCTCACGAGTGCCTCTGCAGCTTTCCCGGCTCAGGAGTTCTCGGCTCCTCTGTGATGCGGCTCTTTGCGGCTTCCCGTCTCACGAGTGCCTCTGCGGCAGTCTTCCGGTCTCGTGAGTTTTGCGGCTCCTGTCTCGCGAATTTCCCGTCTCGCGAACAGCTCTCACGGCTCCTTCCCTTCTCGGCTTTGTGGCTCCTCTGCGGTGCGTCTCCCGCGTGTTCTCCTTTTCAGCTTCGATCGATGCCACTTTTCTTGTGTTTTCTTCTTAACGCTACACCTTCTTTCCCTCCTTCGTTTGAGTGGGAGGAGTACATCAAGAAACCTGGTATGAAATATGGGAAGTCTGTTATCTTTTTTATAGAAGTTGAAGGCATTTAAATTGTTTCCTCCTGTCGTATGAATTTAGTTGGGAAATTTCTATATAGTCATCCCAAAATAGAGCTTATTCGCAAGGAATTTGAACTTATGCACCTTTTTGGGAGTGGAAAATTAGACTATTAGATGAGAGATACATTTTATTCAAATTAATAATGAGAAACATTCACACGCTTATTTGCTAGAAGGATAATCTAGATTGAGAACATTCGCACGCTTATTTGCTAGAAGGATAATCTAGATTGATAACAAAACAATGAAGATTCTGAAATGACTTGTGGATTTTGACCTACAGACGGAACCGTCAATCATTCTGGTTTCGATTTGTCTTCTTGGTCTAAAATTTCATTACCATTCTTAAAGTGTTGTATTATATTATCTGAGCTTATGGTAAGCCACTCAAGATAGATATTCCTACTTTTAATCTTTTCCGACCATCTGAAGTCAGAGTATTTGTTGGAAGAGACATTACTTCTTCCGCTTCTGAGAAAATTTGGTTGGGCACACAGCATCATGGATATTGGCAGAAGATAGAGATTGAACATTTTCCTTCGTATTGTTCGAACTGTCGTATGTTCGGCCACTCCAATTCTCAATGTTATCATCTACATCCCCACCTCAGACCAAAAAAATAAAGTGCTCTGCTAGAGACAGTGATTCCAACTCCTCCTGATCAGCTCCAAGTTATTGACACTATCGATCATCAAAAGGATACACCTGAATGCGTCATTATTCCCGCAGACAATATATAAACCATTCAGTCTCCACACATTGTTGTAGCTCCCCCGTCTTTGGAACCTCCTATTGTAGAGGCGAGGGAGATTCTTCAAACTCTGTCTGCCTTAGAACCTACCACTGATATTACAAGTGAAAATACCTCTGTTGCTTCAGCACCGCCTCATCAGATCCAGAAAGATGTCAATGCTACTCGGACTGAGGGGGATCATGATGTGCAACGTCCTGCACCTGTCCGACCATATTTGGACCAATCCATTGATCAAATGAGTCAATCCTCGGATGAGGAATGGCAGGTCTACACATCCAGAAGGAAGAAGAAGAATGGAGACATACTTTGAGCTCAGAAATCTGATGAATGATATTTTGGTTACTTCGGGTAATGGTAGGCAACTTACCAATTTGTTAGTTGACTTTCTTCCGAGAACTAGAGACAGAGGAAGAACTAAAGTGAGACGTCCCTAGCACTTTTGCGTCTGTTGGTGGATTTTTAGTTTTTTATCTTTATGTATATTTGCTTCTTTGAGTTTTTGTGTGTGTTGTATTGTTTGAGTTGGTCCTTAAATTTTGAAAATAGCAATGATTTGGAGGGTATAGATGACAATTATGTCGTTGATGAATAATAGCAACATAAGAGATTCAAACCCACATTAAAAAGGTAATAGCTCTCTCAAAGTAAAAACTAAAGCCATAAGCCATGAATATCGAGGTAGAGCAAAGTTAAAATCCATAGAACTAGAAGCATTAAACATATTAGTCACACGCCAAAACAAGAAACAACAATAATTAAAGATGTTCAAAGTGGAGAAATTGACAAATGGAAGATAGTTGAAAGCAGAATGAATAAGGATGGTATGATTCCACCAACGCTCTTCAAACATCATTCTAGTAAGGAGACACAAATATAGGGAAGAAAAACTTATTTAAATTGTTAATAGCCAAAGATTCTTTAAAATAAACAACTATTTATAGTAGCAGCATAGAATACTCAAAAAGATGCATACATTCCCAGAATCTTTCTGTTTTTAAGCCTTACAAAAAAAACCCATTATACAGATTGCTAAAGGTTGCGTTCCTTTTGAACTCTAGCTATAGCATGGGTTATGGCATATAAGTGAATTTCCTGCATTCCTTACCATTATTCGGTCATGATAATCCATGAGACATATTGCAATTCTCCTATCATGATAATCCATTGTCCATAACTTACAGTTCAAAAGGGACGTTCTACCTCAAATAAAAGATAGATATTTGTGTCATTTGTAGCATTATCTGCGTTCAATCGTCCAATGTGGGATGTGACTAACGGATTGTAACATATTAAAGTTTAATATGATTGCTACATTTTAACTAATCTATATCAAAATTTGCTCTAAATACAAAATTTTAACTAATCTATATCAAAATTTGCTCTAAATAAATAAACATTACATGGGATACAACTTTGATAACGAGAGTTTAGATTCAAACGACTATGTTCCAGAATCTTGAAAAAACTATTAACAATAATGAAAAAAAAGTTAAATTAGAGATTGCATAAAGTTGCAATCAATTTATAAAGTAATAGCAACCGAAGAAACAGTTAGTACCTTGAACTTGGGCTTTTTTAGAGAGACCGGACGGTTGGGACCGTTCAGGTTCTTTATAGTCCAGCGGGGGAGCAAAATCCACCTCACAATCCGTCTCAATAATGCTAATTGCAGAAGTAGGCTTTGTTTCAACGATATCGATGTAATACTTCTTTTTATTATATGGGACCATGATGCTGTCACCCGTAGTCAAGCAAGAGTAATTCCTCAACGTCGTTTCCAAGCTGCAAGCAGAGAAATTTATGTTATTAATTACTTCATATGCACTATTCAAAGAAAAGATTGGATGCTGGCAAAAAAGGAATGAACATAAATAGCAGTTTGCAGGTAAAAGGCAAGAATAAGTTTTAATTACATGGCCTTGGGGTTTGAAATATCTAAGAAGTCTTTTGTGTGTGGCTGCAGCTTGACATATGTTCCCTTTGGCAGAGTGGCATTCTTAATTTGGACAATATCCCCCTCTTGTAAAAGCAAATTTTGCATCATCTGAACACATGTGAAGAAATCTAATAAGAGGAAGGCTACTTAGGACATGAAATCATATAAAGATTATACATACCCAATATGGCATGTAAACCATCCCTTCCTCAGCAATAAACTCCAGCACACCACAATGAGAAATCCTCTCGGTTGCCGCATTGCGCAGTTCGAATAACATTGGATATTCAATATGCAAAGATGCTGCAGGTGAATGCTCAAGTGAATATGATTCTTTTGAGAAATAAAATGTCTTTATTCTCAGTAAATGTAAGATGTTTATCACATACCAAGGCGGTCTAGGGCTGAGGGAGGCATTATAACTGTGACAATATAAAGCTAATTCAGTAAACATGTCCAAGACAGCAGAAGTGAGTAAACATAATATAATAAAAATGATAGCAGGAGCTCATGCAACATACTTTTGTCACCACCTTCCAGTTGTGGCTGCAAGATTTAAAAAAAATGCTGTCAGACAATCAATGATGAACATGAAATCCAACGAAAATTAATGTGTTCGTTCACAAAATTCACAATGTTAAATTAGAAACATGATTACACAGTCTCCGTATATTACAATATAAAAATTAAAAAAAAAAATACTCCACGTGCCATAAAAATGAGGTTTTGAGGAAGCTGAAGACCTAGTCACTAAAGCAGCACTTGTGATGTGTCTGAATGGAGTTGCAATAAATTTTCCTAGAAGGCTGACAAAGGCTTGAAATAATTAAAAATGAAGTAAAAATCCCATTGGCTTTTTATACAATTGACTCCATAATGTTAATCAGATTATAAGCACTTGCTGCTACTTTAACAAACATAGAATAGAGTTGGAAAGAGAACACAGTTTTCCAATGCTCATAAAAATTGTAGAAATTGTGTGAAAAGAAAAAAGTTGGTTAGAACTTAGAGCAGATGCAGACTTGGCAGAAATACCTGTCTTAACCTATATATTACAGCCAAGTATTATACTGATATTGTATACAGTTCAGTACTACTGCACTCATCCGTGATATATTTTAACTGGAATTCGAAAATCCTTAAAGGCTATTTATTTTGATATATTATGTGTAGACTAAAAAAATGAAGAGGTTCTAAAATATAAAATGTTAGGTTCCAAGAATAACTAATACAAAGTAATTTGTTGAGAAATTTGGAATCTCACTAAGTTTATTTTTTGGTATTTTCTAAATACGTCACTGTCGCAAAAGCCACAAATGACACTAGCCATCCTTGCAATCAGGCCAACGTCATGACACCTCAGTCTCTTCTGACGACATCACAAACCTCAAGTTCTCAGCATGGCATCTCGAACTCCACATACAGTGTGACCTATAGCTCTCCCCATGACCTCTTTCCCAATACAAACATTGCCAACAGAAAGCAGCCATATTGGGCCTATGGCTCTCATCGACCTTGTGACACCTCTGTCAACACTAGTAACAACTTGCCACCCTGACCTCCGTTCGCTTTAATTTAGATTCATTTACTTTCACTCAAACACAAAAAAACAAACAATCTGAATTTATTTTATACTCAATCAAACAAATAAGAGTAGTCCAAAACACAATATTTGCTCTACATAGTACATAAAATTCAATTGGTTTCTAAATACCTTTAACCTAACAACCCATTATTCACTCAAAAACTATTAATATTACAGTCAGATTCCATATGTTAGTAAGTTATCAACATAAATTCTTTATTTATTAGGTGTTTTGACTTGATCCAACATTCTCAAATGCTCAGTTTAGCACCCTAACTCACAAAATCTAGTTAATTTAAAATAAATATCACAAAATAGAAAATGAGAAATTCACAAGACATGCAGTGAGCAAAGCAACACATACCTTATCAATAAAAGATGTTGGATAGCAGCGATATGTCTGCTCAAAGGAATTTCCAAGATAATCATATCTGTCGAAGTACTGTCAATGAAGAATAAATTAGCATTGAAAGAAAAAAGAGGAAAAATGATATTCATGGAAATGCCAATATAACAATAGTTAAAAATCATAGACTACACTGAAATATATGCGCAGAGCCAGAAAATATCGCAAGGGTTTTGGGGCTTATAAGTAGCAAAATTCCTTCTTAACGGAAAATAATGGTTATGGATTTACAAGTCCAAACACAAATAACCCGAATAAGGTCTGACAATGATACAAATACTGATGGCTTTAATAATGATGATATTCCAACTGTATAGAAATAAAACAAGAGACAGCTTATGTTTAGATGGATGCATTTTGTGCCGGGCAATTTTCAATGAAACTTTAACAAATTCCCCGGTACAAGGTTTGTTCATCCAAACCAAAGACCGGTAGGTACCAATTGCCAGTTATGAAAGTAAATGAATAATAAGAGGGAAAAAATCATAAGGAACAGCAGTCTGCCCAAAAATACAATGTAAATCAACATACTCCAGCTAGGGGGTTGCTTGTACCACCAAACTAATTTGCAATTCCAGCAGGTACCAAATTTAGAAACATGTATTAACTATCATTGTAATCATCACTATCTTTATTCCAATTAATTTGGATTGAATTTATAAAGTTACAAACTACTAAAGTCTAACTGGTGTAAGCCATTTTATTAAAGTTTTGCCCCAGTTACTTTTAGTCTACCAAATTTTCTTCCAAATATTTTCATAGTAATTTCATCTAACTACCTTAATGCTTCTCACCCTCCATCGGACTTGTGCAAACCATCTAAATTAATTTTCATTGGCTTATTTTTCAACAAGTGCTTCTCTAACTCCTAAAATATAATTCTTCATCAATATATCCTTTCTCATTTAACATAAATTCATTTTTATATTCTTATTTTGTTCACACTCAATTTGGCCATAGATAATTCCTTAATTGCTCATCACTCAGATCCTCATAACACAACAATTTATATTGCAAATTTACAACATAAACTTTAACTCACTTTGATGATCTTTCAAGGCATTGTACATCTATTGCAATTTCAACATAATTACTTAGTTTTAGCTGTACAAGTTTCCCATCTATATCTCATTTTTTTGGTATCTCCAAAATGCTAAAATACATCTCACCAAGGAATCATTAGATCTTCCATCAATAAAATAATTAAGAATTGAACATACAGAAAAATTTCAACTCGTCCTGATCTCTCAACCCCTAAGCCTTTTATCTCATAAAACGTTGTGCATGTTCCATGTTTTCAATTCAAACAACGTATCAATTATTAAACATATATAACCAGCAAATAAAAGATCCCAGAACCTCATTATGAATAATTTTTCAAAAGCTTTCCACAATTCAAAAAGATATAAAATTCATCTTGAACACAGCTATATCACTATAGCAATTGAAAACTTCTTTTTTACTCTAACCAACTATTATTTCTAATTACTTGCCTATTATAAATATCATTCTAAGTTTCATAAGTTTGACATATATATCCTCCTTCCCATTATGTACTAATTGATTATATACCATTCAAGACTAATAGAAAACACATTGTTTGTAAGTACCTTGGAGCCCACCTGGTGGCTTGTATGCATAAAACATTTTCTTTTCTTTTGTGTGTATAAAACATAATTTAAATAGCAATGAAGCTTTTAAATTCCACTGTTTAACTGTATGCAATAGAAATCAATCAGACTTTTATTCTGTAAATATCTCTCAATATAATGAATTTGTTTTCATATAGAAAATGAGGGAAAAAACAAACATTACTTTCTTAAAAATATTTTCCACCTAAAAGAAACCAAATGGACCATTAGCGCAAAGTCATTTGATAGTAAATCTTCCATAAACCAAAATTTTCATTTCTCAAATGATTTCCATGTAATATGCTTTATTCGCTTTGATAAAGATCGTGACCAATCAATTTTGAATCATAAGTAAATACCACAAGCTTGAACATTTTCTTGGTTAAATGCTAATATCAAAATACACTTTCAAGCAAATAACATCCTCGTAGTTCCTAAAACTCCATTGAGATGAGTTATTTTATCCATAATATCTAAAATCTCCTAAAATTCTCCATGTATAAAGTTAATATCTCATAGACAAAAAATTTTACCATTTCAACTTTATAAGACTTATAGCCCTCAAGTTATCATACTAAGATTTTAATATTTATAAGTGCTTATGCTCCTCAAGTAGGTTTAGATACAGGGTCTAAAGATAAATTTTGGAACGACTTAGAAGCCTTAATACAAATGATACCTCTTGAAGAAAGAATTTTTATTGGATGAGATTTAAATGGACAAGTCGGTAAAGTGGTAGAAGACTTCAGAAATACTCATGTGGCTACGGTTTTGGAGTAACTAATGAAGAAAGTAGAAATATTTTAGATTTTGCTTTAGCGTATGATTTTGTTATTATTAATATTTTATTCAAGAAAACAGATGAGCATCTTATAACTTATAAGAGTGGATCCAATAAAACACAAATTGATTATTTTTTTATGAGAAGAAGAGATCGTCGAGATTGTAAAGATTGTAAGGTCATTCCAAGTGAGAATTTAAGTACCCAACATCGTTTATTAGTTCTAGATTTTAAGATAAAGAGTTGTAAAAAAAGAATACTAGGACTCATCATCGTGAAATTAGATGGAGAAACCTTAAAGACAACTAAAATTATTTTTATGAATAAAATTCAAGATTTTAAAATTTGGGATGTTCATGATGAAGCAAATGTTATGTGGGATAAAGTAACAAATTTTATTAAACAAGTAGCAAAAGATGTGCTTGGAGAATCTAAAGAAAAAAATTTATAAATAAAAATAGTTGGTTGTGGAATAATAATATGCAAGAAAAGATAAAATATATGAAGTTATGTTCTAAAAATTGGTTTAAATGTAAAAGCTTAAAGAACTAGGAAAAATATCAAACGGCCTGCAGGGAGTCTAAAAGAACAATCTGTGACGCTAAAAATTCTGTTTTTAATGGTATTTATGATAGATTAAATACTAAGGAGAATGAAAAATATATAAATAAACTAGCCAAACAAAGAGAAAAAAAAAGTGAAAATTTAACTCAAGTGTATTAAAGATGAAAATCAAAAAGTACTTTTCTTAGAAAAAGATATTCAACATAGGTGGGTGAATTATTTTGATAAACTTTTTAATGGAATTTCTGAAAATAAGATCGACCTTAGTAATCTTAATATCATGAATAATAATAAAACGTTTCATTTTTACCGTCGCATTAGTAATAAAGAAGTTGAGGAGGCGTTAAAGAAAACCAAGGGTGGAAAGTTTGTAGGACCTTATGATATCTCAATTGAAGTGTGAAAATATTTAAGAGATTTGGGAGTTTCTTGGCTTACTAAACTCTTTAATATTATTTTAAAAACTAAAAAGATACCCGATGAGTGGAGGAAGAGTATTTTGGCCCCCATTTTTAAGAATAAAGGAGATGCTCAAGAGTGTACAAAGTATAGAGGAATTAAGTTAATGTGTCATACTTTAAAGTTATGGGAGATGGTAATTGAACATAGGTTAAGACGCATTACAAAGATTTCTCATAATCAATTTGGATGTATGTCAGGCAGGTTTACTATGGAAGCTATACATTTATTGAAAGGTTTGATGGAGAAGTTTAGAGTTAATAAGGAGAATTTACATTTGATTTTTAAAGATTTCTCATAATCTTTCTTCTTCCTTTACCGCAAAGAAATACTTCTTGCACAGAGAAAACCTTACTCTATCCCGAGGAAATCCGAAGAACACGGTGACTTCTCTTAAACTGAAAGGAGAGTCGTGCAATACCTTTTATCGCGGAGAGGAGCCGGGGTTGGCAACGTTTCGAGAAATAGAGGCGGGAGCAGCGATTTTCGCGAAACCGCAGGGTCGCGGTTGCGACCTTTTGCAATCAGGCGCGGTAACGGGAAGCAGGAGCGGGAGATTGGGAGCGGGATCAAGAAAAATCGGGTTCCAGCGTTAACAATCTCCCACTTGGAAACCGATACACAAGCTACAACATCTTCTTCCTCGAACTAATATCTTCCACTTGCAGCGTCGCCCTTTTCTTCAAGCATAAATCCTCCACTGTGAATCCTCCACTATGAATCCTCCAACTTGAATCCTCCACCACTGCAACTCAAAGCCCTGTCTTCACTCCATAAAATCGACTAAAGTTGTACACAACTTCAATTTCTCAAGAGTAACATCCTCAATCAACATATCAGCAAGATCCAAACAGCCTTGCACCTCCAAGCTATTTCCTGGATTACTCTTATCTCTGCTTACAACTCCCACTGCATTGACGATATCCTACCTCTGTTGAAAGCCTTTTTCAACAAGTCTGGTCTTGTATCTTTTATTGTCATCACGCTCAGTCTTCACCTGATACACTCACTTGTTGTGTAATGGCTTCTTTCCTGGTGGAAGTTCTGTCAGCTCTCACTTGCTTGAACTTTCATATTGCAAAATTATTTCACAGCTCCTTGGTTCTTCATCATCTGCCCCAGCCCTCACTTGCTTGAACTTTCATATTGCAAGATTATTTCACAGCTCCTTGGTTCTTCATCATCTGCCTGTAGAACAATAGGAATGGTTGTCTCAGACCCACTCTCCTCTTCATTTCCATCATCAATAGAGCTATCAACTGTCAGCAATAGTGCATCATGTGCTTCTTCAGATACCACATTTGCGCTATCGTTCTTCATCTTATTGAGATTCCTACAGTTCCACCTTATGTGGTCAGTCTTACCACAATTCCAGCAGGTTGTCTGCTAATTAAACTTTGATTTTGATCTCCTTTTATTTGAGTTCTTGTCTTGTCATCTCCCTCTGAAATCAACATTTAGTGTCGAACTAGTACCTAAGATCTCGCCAGAATCTTTCCTGCGAACTTTCTCAGCCAAAATCAAATCATGAATATCATCGCATTTCAATTTAGATTTCTCTGTAGAACTGATAACTGTCATATTCACGGCTTCCCAACTAT